TGGTGTGTAGCTGAGAAGGCTACATGAGAGTGTTGGTGTGTAGCTGAGAAGGCTACATGAGAGTGCTGGCATGCAGCTGAGAAGGCTATAAGTGACCGTGAGATTTCCTTCATTGTACTCATCTGCATTTTCCAAATTTTGAAAATGAGTATATTTTAGTTACACACTAAAAAATATCATTTACACCTGTAATCCCAGCACTTTGGGAGGCCAAGGTGGGCAGATCAGTTGAGGTCAGGAGTTCGAGACCAGCCTGGCCAATATGGTGAAATGCTGTCTTTACTAAAAATACAAAAAAAAAGCCAGTCATGGTGGTGGGCGCCTGTAGTCCCATCTGCTCAGGAGGCTGAGGCAGGAGAATTACTTGAACCTGGAAGGTGGAGGTTGCAGTGAGCCAAGATTATGCCACTGTACTCCATCCTGGTGACAGGGTGAGACTTCATCTCAAAACAACAACAACGATAAAAAAACTTCATTTACCTGGGTGTGATGGTTCATGCCTGTAATCCCAGTACTTTGGGAGGCCGAGGCGGGGGATCACTTGAGGTCAGGAATTTGAGACCAGCCTGGCCAACATGGTGAACTCTGGCTTCATTCACTGAGCCTCACTCTGAGATTCATCCTTGAAGTTCCTGTGTGTGAATCAGTAGTTCATTCCTGTGCATTCTGAGTAGGGTGAATGTACCACACTTTATCAAGGCACCTGGTAATGCATGTTTGGGTTGCTGTCTTCTTTAGGGTCTGCAAACCCTTGTAACAGTATGCATTTTTTTCCTAGGAAATGAGGCCACAGCATTCATTTGATTGGTCCAAGGGGAAAAAATCCAGCTAGACTCCCAGCAGTTTTTCTGTTGATATCTTGTCATTTTGGTTGTCTGAAACCAGCCTCCTTAGAGATTTTAAGATTCCTTAAAAGGCTTACAGGGGCTGGACGCGGTGGCTCATGTCTGTAATCCCAGCACTTTGAGAGGCTGAGGCGGGTGGGTCACCTGAGGTCAGGAGTTCAAGAGCAGCCTGGCCAACATGGCAAAACCCCATCTTTACTAAAAATATACAAATTGGCCGGGCTATGTGATCGTCTCCCACAGCACTGAGCTGATTTCTGTGGTTCCTTAGGTCACGGGGGTAGGGTGATGCCTGCTTCAATCTTACCCTTTTGGGGCAGAACTCTTGAAATCTTGACTTAATCTGGGGAGTTCTCTCTTATATCCCACCTTGGACACCCTTGGATTTGATTACATTTATCTTGCCCTTGGAGGCTGTCAAAACCAAAGTTAAATATGGCAAGACTGGCTCATGCGTGAAAGTAAAAGCTGTCTCAGAGCCCAATGGCTTGTTTTTGTTGCTCCTTTCCATTAAGGTCTGACTTGGTAATGCCTTATTAGCTTTCGGATGCCTTTCTGATGTTATTTCAACATTTATCCAGTATTTTTTTGTTGTTTTGAATGAGAGGAATGGTCCAAATAACTTGTATCTACTACATTCCTTAAAAGGCAGCATTGCTTCATTTTTAAATGGTGGGTTTTGGGGAGGTTTCTTTGAGACCGAGTCTTGCCTTGTCACCCAGGCTAGAGTGCAGTGCCACCATCTCGGCTCACTGCAATCTCCGCCACCTGGGTTCAAGCAATTCTCCTGCCTCAGCCTCCTAAGTAGCTGGCATTACAGGCATGTGCCACCATGCCTGGCTAATTTTTGTTTTTTATTAGTAGAGACGGGTTTTCACCATGTTGGCCAGGCTGGTCTTTAACTCCTGACCTCAGGTGATCTACCTACCTCGGCCTCCCAAACTGCTGGGATTACAGGTATGAGTCACTGTCCCTAGCTGTAGGATTCCATTTTGTAAAACCCTAGAAAAATGCAAACTAATCAAGAGTTTCTATTTATTTATTTATTTATTTATTTATTTATTTATTTGAGATGGACCCTCGCTCGCTCTGTCACCCAGACTGGAGTGCAATGGCGTGATCTTGGCTCACTGCAACCTCCACCTCCTGGGGTCAAATCATTCTCCTACCTCAGCCTCCCTAGTAGCTGGGATTACAGGTGCCCGGCCACCATACCCAGCTAATTTTTGTATTTTTAGTAGAGATGGGGTTTCGCCATGTTGGCCAGGCTGGTCTCGAACTCCTGACCTCAGGTGATCTGCCTGCCTCGGCCTCCTAAAGTGCTGGGATTACAGGCGTGAGCCACCACGCCCAGCCACATTTCTCATTTTTATTTTTGAGATGGAGTCTCACTCTGTTGCCCAGGCTGGAGTGCAGTGGCACAATCTTGGCTCACTGCAACCTCTGCTTCCTGGGTTCAGGCAATACTCCTGCCTCAGGCTCCTGAGTAGCTGGGATTACAGGCATGTGTCACCATGTCCAGCTAACTTTTGTATTTTTAGTAGAGACAGGGTTTCACCATGTTGGCCAGGCTGGTCTCGAACTCCTGATCTCAAATGATCCACCCACCTTGGCCTCCCAAAGTGTTGGGATTACAGGCGTGAGCCACCGCGCCTGCCACATTTCTCTTTTTAATAAAACCCCCAACCTTATCTTTGTTCTTTGGACATACCGAAGTTCACTCCAGCCTGTGGATATGCCTCAAAATGTAATTCTATGATTCCCATACAAGATGTTTTGTTTAGAGATCCATCTCTAGATTTTTATTTGGCTTTGATAGTATTATTACATATTAAAACACTTTAATTTATTGTTTTAATTAGAAGAACATCACATATTGCTTTATGCTATGACATTGGAAAATCGGCCAGGCACGGTGGCTCATACCTGTAATCCCAGTACTTTGGGAGGCTGAGGGGGGTGGATCATCCAAGGTTAGGAGTTCAAGACCAGCCTGGCCAACATGGTGAAACCCCATCTCTACTAAAAATACAAAAAAATAGCCAGGCATGGTGGTGGGCACCTGTAATCCTAGCTACTCGGGAGAGTGAGGCAGGAGAATTGCTTGAATCCAGGAGGTGGAGGTTGCAGTGAACTGAGATCGTACCACTGCACCCCAGCCTGGGTGACAGAGCGAGACTCCAGCTCAAAAAAAAAAAAAAAGAAAGAAAGAAAGACATTGGAATATCTTCATGAAGAAGATGGGACACACGTTTCCAGGTTTCCATTTTGGAACTTCAAGGCTGACAAATTCCATCCTCGTTTCTCCTCATCCCTTGAGGCCCCTCCTGAGTGGGTGGCCCTTCTCAGAGGGCAGGGGCCAACTGTAGATCCCTCTGACTCCTCAGCACCCACCTGCCTCACCCCAGCCACCTGTGCACACTTGAAATATACACAGTTTATTGTATATAAGCAACATGTAGATAAATCCCTGATTATAGTTGGAAATCTTACGATTCCTCTCTCTGGAATGGATTCAAAGAAGTAGAAAAAATTCAGTACGGCCGGGGCGCGGTGGCTCACGCCCGTAATCCCAGCACTTTGGGATGCTGAGTTGGGTGGATCACGTGAGGTCAGGAGTTTGAGACCAGCTTGACCGACATGGTGAAACCCCATCTCTACGAAACGTACAAAAATTAGCTGGGTGTGGTGGCAGATGCCTGTAATCCCAGCTACTTGGGAGGCTGAGATAAGAACCTGGGAGCTGGAGGTTGCAGTGGGCCGAGATTGTGCCACTGCACTCTAGCCTGGGTGACAGAGTGAGATTCTGTCTCAAAAAACAAAACAAAAAAAACCTTTGTATTTTGCTTTTTTACTTTCCTAAACTTTATTATTGTTTCACTTGATTTTCCGAAGAATCCTGTGTAGTAGGTGAACTAGTTCATTATTCCCACTTTCCTGATGGGAAACGTGCAAAGAGCCACGTAATCCATACCACGCTTGGCAGAACCTTCCAATCACATTGATTACTTGTGGTGAGGGTAATTAGAAGTCAGCATATTTTCCAAAAATTCAGTCTAGTATTAACAGATTTTTTTTCTCTTCTGCACTTCAACTTGAAGGCAGCAGAGGGCGCCTGATCACACAAAAGATACACTCTAAGAGTTAGGGATAGATTAAAGATAATCCATTAGTTTCAACGATGTGAATTTTACTAAAATAGAGCCCTGTACTTAATCTTTTGACTGTTTTTAGGATCTGATCTCATTTTAGATGTTCTATTTGCTGTCTTTCTCAGTAATGAGAATTTCCATCTCACGTAAATCACCATGATGCCTGTAATCCAAGAGCCTTCTAATTTAGCTTCAAGCTTCTTTCAGATAATAGAAGTATTAAACCCCGTGTCCACCAGATCCTCCTAAATCTTCCATAGGTCGTACGCTCTGCCTCTCTCCGGCCTGAAGTGGGTGCCACTGTAATGTACTGCAGACAGATGAGCTGTGAATGAAGGGCCTTTCTGCTTCAAGTGCATGGCCTCAGGGTTACCCAGGATTTTTAGAAAAATGTTAAAGGATTAGGTGTGTTCTTAAAGTCATAGCACACTAAAGGGGACAGAACTATTTCCCCAGGGCGATAGTGAGGAGTTAGCCTTTTGTAGCTCATCATAGAAGATAATCATGCCTGGATGCCCAGGCCGGCTTTCTGTGAAATTCTCCTGCTCCTTTCTGCTCAGCTTCTAACTGGTTCTTTTTTTTTTTTTTTTTTCTCTACCACCACACAGGTTTCCTACAAGCAGTGCTGGAGACC